AATGCCACCATTTCTTAGCACAGATCATGGGCTGAGGTTTGGGAAGTTCAGTGAATGCTTGAAACAACCACATGGGAAAAACACTGCTGCTCCTCCATGTTAGAGAAGAAGTGATTGAGGAACAAAGATCAGGTTTTATATAGCTCTCACTGTCAATGCCAGGACTGGACGCTGGTCTGTTATCAGACTCCACTGTTCACCACAGGGCTGTGTCCCTGCTCATGATGAGTCATACTAAATTATAGCACACAGGTGAAACCACACACACACACACACACACACACACACACACAGAGAGAGAGAGAGAGAGAGAGAGAGAGAGAGAGAGAGAGAGAGAGAGAGAGAGTCTTGGGCTGTCCATATATCCAGAAATAAGCTCAAGATGGACTACTTCTGGCAGTTACATAGAAGCCAGCATTCCTCAGGAACCTGTGAAACAAGTTTTCGGTCCCCGAGAAGGAGTCATTTCCCTGACCTCTGGCAAAAGGGACATATGGCATATACCTGTGGCATTCATCAGTGTACCAAAACCCATGCTGGTCTCCAGGCTCCCTCAGTATCACAAGCACCTGTTCCACACTTCAGTGTCTATACTAGCATCCTAGTCCTTCTTGTCTACACTCCTCCCCCAGCTACTAGCCCACTGAATAATCCACATAATTTGTTCATGGGATGGGCTCTCTTTCTCTTTTTCTCCCTTCGGCCCCTCCCTCTCTTGATGTCCTCCTCCTCTTGTGCTTTCTTTCTGACCCCTCTCTCTCACTATGCTCTAGTGTCTGTCTCTTGCTACCTTGATATCTTCATTATTCTCTCCCACCTTCTCACTTCCTTAGCCCTGGCTGAGTCCAGTCTGCTTTATTCTCTCTCTCTCTCTCTCTCTCTCTCTCTCTCTCTCTCTCTCTCTCTTTCTCTCTCTCTCTCTTTCTGGACTCTTCCAGATGCCTCTGGACATTTCCTTTCTCTTGTTCACAATAAAACAAACAAAAGCACCTCTGGACATTTCCTTTCTCTTGTTCACAATAAAACAAATAAACAAAAGCAAAACAAAAACAAAACCCAACTTCCCCATAATAATGGAGGGGTCATGCCAACAGTTTCTTTACTCTGCTCACCTTCTTGCAATTCTATTTTCTGAACAGAAAAATAAAAGGGAAAATGGGTGTTATATATAAGTAAACATTTTTATATCCCCAGTAATTTTTTTTCAGAGTAAAATTTTAAATTACACTTGGGGAATGCATGTGTACACATGTAAATATGCCCGTGCACCATGCACACATGTGGAGGTCCGAGGACAATGTGAGCGGTCAGTTTTCTCTGCCACCATTTGGATCCCATGGATTAAACATGGGCCATTATGTTAAGCCATCTTACTGGTCCATTTTTCCAGATTTTAAAACACTCCTTCCTGCCCCTAGGTCCTGAGGAAATACTTTTCTTATTCCTTGGTCCTCTCTGGCTTCTAGTCTCTCTTGGGATTCAGTGCAGACTCCGTGGTAAGGTCATCTCTGCTCTGGTGTTCTTCCTCAGCTCTTCCCAGGTAAGTATATGTCCCTGTCCCTGAGTGGCATCAAGGCTGGAAACAGCATGTTTCCAGGTTGCCCCTGTCCATGTTCTCTTTCCATCCCTGGCAAGGTCTCACTCACGTTCCCTCTCTCCCATTAGAAATTCTTGTTTTGAGGGTGGTCAGCTTTCTTGGAATGTCAGTGCTGGCTGTCCTGTGACTAGGAGCCCAGGTCAGGCCAACAGATACGTGACACCACATGCCACTGACACCCCATGTCACCAACACTCAGTCTTGCACTGCGTTATAACCTCCTATGACCCTCAAGCCCTGTGTTTATCTTTAGAGTTATTTCCTCATGCCTGTAAGTGTTGACCCTCTCAGATCCCAAAGTCAAGGACAATTAATTTTCACTGTCTCTATTTCCTTACCCCTTCTGTTATCAGTTTGTATTGTGTGTGTGTGTGTGTTATTTTATGTTCGGGCCTGTGTGCCTAAGTGTATGTGCATCATGTGCATGCAGTACCTACAGAGGCCATAAGAGGACGCCAGACCCTTAGAGCTGGAATTAAGAGGCAGTTGTCAGCCACCATGCGAGTGTTGGGAAACCAACTCACATTCTCTGGAAGAGCAGCCAGTGCTCTTAACAGCTGGACCATCCTCCCAACCCCACATAAGTTTTGTGTTTAGAAGTTAAGCCCTCCCTTCATTGGCAACAGTCCCCCCTCTTCCTCAGTGGGACCCTGGCTCCTCTCTGAGTTGAGTGACAGTCCATGACAGAGAAGTTCTACGCTGTCATAACCCATGGAATTCCTATCAGACAAGAAACTGCTGGGGAAGCAGGCTTTGGAGGAGAAGTCACTTCTCACAAGCCTTTTCATGGAAGCCTTTGCCATCCTATCCTGGTGATGTGGTTTTATCCTTGTGTCAGTACAGTTTCCACAACCCTTTCCTCTTAGGGTGATTCACGCTCAACTTAAGTAAGCACCTGAGTCTTGCTCGTAGGTGAAAATCCACATTCCTTGTTGGAGGTAGAAGGCAACTGCAGTGTAAATATTAGAAGCCCAGAGGTTTAGGGCTGAAGAGATGGCTCTGTGGGTAAGAGCACCACTGCAAAAGCATGAAGACTTGAGTTTGGATTCCCAGGACCAAGACAAAAAGCCTGGTGTAGCCATCTCTGTGACACGGGTGTATCACAGGGAGATGAGAGCATCCCTGGGGCTTGCTGACTGCTGACCTAGCTCCAGGTTCAGGAAGAGATTTTTATCTCCCAAGCATAGGGCAGAGAAAGGTGATAACAGATGCTTCCTTCCAGATGCGTGCCCATGCGCGCACGCGCGCGCGCACACACACACACCACTAAAAACTATATACATAAAAATAATAAAAAGCATGTTTGTGAAGGGGGTGCTGGCAGATATCTCCTTGCTCTATAAGAAATGCTGAGCTTGGGGTACACACACCCCTAACCCCAGAGTTCAGAAGGCTGAGGCTGGAGCATTGCTGTGAGACCCAGGCCAACCCTGTGTTCTTAAGTGTGTACAAGGACAGCAGGGGGCTACGTGACAAAACCCTGCCTCCAAAAAGGAGTATTAATATTGGTGCCAACTACTGTTTCAGAATTGCTGCGCTTAAGTACTCTCCAGGCTCTTCACAGACACCCTGCGAGGAAAGCACCAGCTACTGCTGTTAACAATTTACAGATGAGCAAATTCAGACACTGAACAGGCAGCAGAAACAAAGCAAACTATCGAGACATTTAGTGTTAAGGCCCATCCTTCCTTGTCACTGGTCAGGACACCCAGGCTTAGTACATGATTTTGTGATTGTATTCTCTATTTGTTTTAAGCTCCATTGGTTGCATGCAGCACCCTGGTATCCTGGAACTCTCAGGGGCCACCAAGGGAGCTGAATGAAAAAAGAGATAGAAAGGAAAGGACGTGACTAGCTATGGTGGAGGAGAAAGCTTGTTACAGATATGAGGGAGAGCAGAGCCAGAGGCAGAGACCTGTGGGAGAGTCCAAATGCACATGGCCTGCAGTGTTGGAGAGTTCAGGGTAGGAGGTGGGGCAGGCAAGCCAGGAGGATGCTGTAACAGGTAAGGAGTGAGGGCAACCGAAGAACCTGGCGGCCAGCGTCCCCTTTGACTTGTTAAAGGCATCTCAGCCGCTAATCGCTAGTCGCGGTTTTGAAATTTAACTGTAGCCTACATCAGAGCCAGTAGGTGCAGCGGGGTACGCGTGACATGGATGCCTGACATGGCAGAGCTGAAGGCACAGGGATGCATCAGCTTTCTGAATTATGCAACTGTGGCTCGCTGCACTCGCGCTTCTGGAGACTTTCCATGCCTGTAGCCTGGTAAGACCAAGCACTCCCGGCCCAGAGACGAGCTTTTGTTCCTGGGATGATTTTCACTTCATATCTGGAGCGCTAGTGTCCTCATCTCTTCGTCTCCCTCTTTTCACAACCGAGTCCAACCATCCTCATGTACCAAGGTCTCTAACTTTCCGGAAATCTAAGAAGTCCCAGGCTTGCTCCGCCCTCCGGACACGTGAACGCGGCATTCCTAGGCCTGGAGGGCGGGCTCAGAATAGGACACAAATGGAGGGGAAAAGGATGACAGACTGGGGGCGGGGTCAGAATGGACCTAGAAAGCAGGTGCTGGCCCTTCAGGGCGGTTGAGGAGACCGAGTGACTTAGAAGACCGGAGGGCCCACTATAAATAATGGACTTGGAGCAGGATGGGAAGATTCTGGAGACAGGCGCTCGCCGGCCGTATTCACACTCCTAAAGGACCTGTTGAGGGTGACCTCGGGGTGAAGATTCAGGGTTACTAATGAACTCAGAGTGGAGGGAAGGGCCAAGAAGGCTGGCACCAGGGCTCGGTAAATGGACCTTGAGGTGTGGCTCCAGGAGCACCAATGAACTTGGAGAATGAACTTGGGTAGGGTGAGCACTAGGGAGGGGCTAATAACCTGGAGGGGTGGATCCAGGGGCGCCAATGAACTTGGAGAATGAAATTAGAAAGGAAGGGCAGGCACCAGAGGTGGAACCAGGGAGAGAGGACCCACCCAGTCCGGTCCCGGAGAGCAGAATTGGAGGGAAAGAAGTGTCCACTTGGTGGAATGGAAATACAAGGGGTGTATCAGGTCCAGGAGGCGGGTTCACGTTAGGCTCCTGGGCTAGTTTCAGGGGCTAATGAACCCGGAGGGCGGGACGGGCGCTAGGGCGGGACTAATGGACCTAGAGGGTGGATTCAGGGGTAGAGAAACTCAGCGGAGATAGGGCTGGTGCCAGAGGGAACCTGGAGGACCGAGTGAAAAGGAGGCGGGGCTGGAGGGGGGGTTACAGGGAATGCGCGGGAGTCCAAGGCAGGCTCAGCACCTGCCCTCTGCGCCAGTGGCTGAAGAAAAGAACTAGCTAAACAAGAGCCAGAGCCTAGGCCAGAGCCCTCGGGCAGTGGGCGTGACCTCTGTTGTCCCGTTCAGTCCCTGCACCCCTTTCCTGTTGGCTTGGACCGATGAAGTGCATCGTTGGAGACCGGGGAAACTGAGGTGGTGGCTGGCACTTGGTCCACCAGAGACCTCTCAATCGCCCCTATGGCGCTGCCTGGAGCCGAGGGCACGGCAGACGTTCCACTGTCCCCAACCCGTGGAGACTCGGGGTGCTCCTCAGCCGGGATGTGGACCGCGCTTTATGACTACGATGCGCGCGGCGAGGACGAGCTGAGCCTGAGACGCGGCCAGCTGGTGGAGGTGCTGTCCCAGGACGCCGCGGTGTCAGGCGACGAGGGCTGGTGGGCCGGCCAAGTGCAGAGGCGCCTGGGCATCTTTCCCGCCAGCTACGTGGCGCCTTGTGGCCAGGTGCCGCCGTCTGCGCCGCCCAAGCCGCGTCCCTGCTCACCATTGCACGTGGACTTCGAGCGCCTGGAGCTCAAGGAGCTGATCGGTGCTGGAGGCTTCGGCCAGGTGTACCGCGCCACTTGGCAGGGCCAGGAGGTGGCGGTGAAAGAGGCACGTCGGGACTCTGAGCAGGACGCGGCGGCAGCGGCAGAGAGTGTACGGCGAGAGGCGCGGCTCTTCGCCATGCTGCAGCACCCCAACATCATCCAGCTGCGGGGCGTATGCCTACGGCAGCCGCACCTCTGCCTGGTGCTGGAGTTCGCGCGCGGCGGGGCACTCAACCGCGCGCTGGCAGCCTCCGCACCCGATCCCCGAGCGCCAGGCCCGCGCCGCGCACGCCGTATACCCCCGCACGTGCTCGTCAATTGGGCGGTGCAGATCGCCCGTGGCATGCTCTACCTGCACGAAGAGGCTGTGGTGCCTATTCTGCACCGCGACCTCAAGTCCAGCAACAGTAAGTGAAGCAACCCAAGGAAAGGGGGGTGCCAGGAGCAAAGGTGGTGGGGGAGGTCTGCCCAGGACTCAGAGAGCAGGAAGACAGACACTGATTACCTTGCTTTAGGTCTGTTCATGCTCATCCTGGTGTTGTTACCTTTGTTTTTTTTTTTTTTTTTTTTTTTTTTTTTTTTTTTTTAAGACAGGGACAGGCTTGCTTGTAGATAAATTCTTGCTAAGCTCTGGACCTGTAGGAAACCCCAGGGAATGTTTATATGTCTGTGTAGGTCTCCCAACCCGTTTGTACAGAACTCTGCTAGCCCTGACCTTAAGCCTCCTGGCTATCATCAACCCTCATCCTCATTTCCTTCCACTTTACAAGTTTCCAATTCCCTTTTCCTGGTACATGCTGCAAACACAAGATTTCATGCATTTCAAGCAAGCACTCTGCCGGGGTGCTGTGCCCCCTCATCTCGCTGTGAACAAGGCTTCTTGTCATTGGGCTTTCCCAAAAGCATAACATTTAGATGCCTTTGTATATGAAACATGACCTTATTGTCCTTTGGAGAAATCTTTTTTTTGTGCCCATTTGGTTGAGAACAAGTGCACGGATCTCGTACGGTACTGGAAACCTGAAATGTCTGGTTGGTGTCAGTTACCTCATCTATAAGTCAGATTTTCCAGATGTTAGCAGAGAGCTGACATGTGATCTAAATACAAATCCTATTAAGATCTGCTGTGTAAGCGAGCTAGAAAGGGTTGTTGGTTGAAGTTGCCTTTTCCTAAGGAAGAGCCACCCCCCACCCCCAATGAAATGAAATACTAAAGGGTTCAGCCAGAGCTTGTGCTGACCAGTCAGTGTAGCATGCCCATCATGAAACCTGCTAGGACAGGAGCTAGCTGAAAGGACACAGTGTCTTCTGCAGAGAGACAGTAGCCAGGGGAATGGACGGTGCTTTTCCTATACACTAGCATGGATTTCCTTTCGCTATGAATCTGTCAGTAGGGAAACATACTTGAAAGTTACAAAACATATTCTCTCCGTTATGTAAATTATGAATAAATTAAATGTTGTAGATATGCATGAGCACTGGATGGCCGTTCCCCCCTCCCCCCAGCCTATCTAATTTAGGTCTCGGCTGCCCCAGGGATGAGGGACCAGTGTAAGGAAGCAGGTCGGGAAGAAGCAGTGGTGGTCCCTGCATGTCTCAGCTGACTGCGTGAAGGTCCCTGGGTGGTTCGCTTTAAGAACTGTGTTACTAACATGTAATATGTTTTTCTGTTGTGTGATGTATTTATGTATGTCCAGATGCACATTCGTGAGGTGGTGCATGTGTGTGTTCCTGCATGTGAAGGCCTGAAGTAAACCTCATGTGTCCTTCCTTAGGTGCCTTGCACCTTTTTATTGAAATAGAGTCCCACACATCTCTGGAATTCACCATATTTGGCTAAGCTGGTTGAGCCATGGAGCCCCATGGGTTCTTCTGTCTGGGCCTCCCCACTGCTGAGATCATAAGAGTCCACTGCCAGGCTGGGCTTTTTCTGTGTGTTCTGAAGATGGAAATCAGGGCCTGTCCTCACCACTACACAGCAAGCACTTCACTGATTAAGCCCTTCCTTCCCCTGTACCACAGCACCATCTTTAGGAGCTTATTTATGTGTGTACTTCATGCTTGGTAGTTTCTACTATTAACCCGCTCTGAGAACAGTGTATTATGTAGCCTGCTGCCACAGAACAAGGTCAGACTCCACCTGTCCAAAAGCCTGACCCGGGAGTGCCTCTGCAGATCAATGACAGTACATCATACCATCCCCTTCTCTGCAGGAGCTTCATGATAACACAGAACATTCTGCAAGTTAATTCTGCCCAAGTTAATGCTCAAGATGCATTAATCCTTACACCGAAGGTTTGAGGCTGTAGCTACTGCATTTTGCACTGTACCCAGTCTGGTTTGGTGGATGCCACTCTTTACTTTGTATGTGTGTGTAGTTGCAAGCACATACATGTGGAGACCAGAGAAAAACCTCAGGACTTTTTCATTCCTCCAGTACCTTTTACCTTTTGACTGAGACGAGATCTCTGATCTAGAAACTTGCTTATATTAGGCTAGGCTGACTGGCTTGTAAGCCTTGAAATTCCACCTGTTTCTTTTCCTGTGCTGGGATTACAAGTAGGCACCAGCATTCCCGGCTTTTACCTATGGGTTCTAGGACTCTCAGGCACACATGATTGCAAGCAAGTGCTTTACTGTCTGAGACATCTCACTAGTACTGGTTCAGTGCATCTTGAGGGCCACATCACATGTTCACCAGCAGTGCATGTTTGGTAGGTTGTGTAAAGGACAGGAGGACATGGGAACCCTTGCTTACACACTTTCATATAAAAAGGAAACTTGTAAAGAACTCCTAACACTTGGAAATCATTTTTAAAATAGGAAGTTACGTGGTTTCTGTTCACACCAGTCAACATTAGACTGCTGCATGTCGGGAGACACTTTGTACTTTGGAGGCAATTCCATCCTAACTTAGCTTTGGAAAATCTTTTGTATTCAGAACAAATACCCAAGCATCCTAGGGTATTTTTAATTCCTTTAAAGGCAGACAAGACTTCCTTTATTTTAAAATGTCACAATTGTAAGCAGTGGATTTATCTTAGTTCCTAGAGTGCTTTCTTAACATGGGGCTCCATCTCCAGCACCCCAGAAACTGGTCATGGTGGCAAATCCTTGTAGTCCCTGAACTCTGAAGGTAGAGGCTGGAGGATCAGAGGTTCAAGGTCATCCTAAGATATCATACTGAGTTTGAAGCCAGCTTGGGCCATTTGAGAACTTGTCTCAAAACACTAAAAAACTTAATACAAAAAAATGCAGTCTAAATGGATTAGTTGGCTAGACACTAACTTGGCCAAGGATTTATTGTGATATCGCCATAATTATAATTACTTAATTATAATGAAAAGAGATATTTGGATGTGGCCTACAGTGTTTAAATTACAGTGAGGCCCACAGGGTTCTGTCCTTGATGTCTGCTTTATCTGTTTGGTGAACAAATGAAGCATTTTGGAGTTCCCTGCTGTGTGGGAGGCTTTACCTTCTCACTCTCACTGTGGAGTGTAGCAGCATGGCTTTAGCAGGTTGTGTTTGAGTGCACTATTTGCTGATTGTGGCAGTGTGTTCTTGTCAGCAGTGCTTTGAGTCAATATTGGGCTTTTATTTCACTCTACAGTCAACCCACATGACTGAATGGTAGGGGAGGGCTTGCACCCCAGCCTGGCGGGGGTGGGGGCGGGGGGATTGCTGCTTAAACAAATGCTTGAGTTTCTTAAACGGCTTATACTTATTTCTCTTTCTCTTTCTTTCCTTCCTTCTTTCTTTCTGTTATTTATTTATTTATTTATTTATTTATTTATTTATTTATTGGCAGCGTTTCCTCTGTGGAATTGGCAGTCTTGGAACTCACTCTGTAGACCAGGCTGATCTCAAACTCACAGAGATACCCCTGCCTCTGCCTCCTGAGTGCTGGGATTAAAGGCATGGGCCACCATGCCAGGTGATTATGTACCTTTAGACAGATGTTCTTTTCTAGTGTATTTTAAGTCTTACTGCTTCTTGGGGACTTGTCTGTGATGAAGCCATTTCTGATTGATGACTACAGACTGAAAGCTGAGCCAGGTTGCAGGTGTGTGTGTGTGTGTGTGTGTGTGTATGTTTGTGTGTAGGCCAGAGGTCAGACTTAGGTGCCATTCTTTAGGATGCTGCTGCCTTGTTTTTTGAGACAAGGTCTTGCCAGTTTGGCCAGGCTTGCGGACTTGACCTTCTGGTCCCAGGGGTTTGGCTGTGTTCACTTCTCCAGCACTGGATTATAAGCAAGTGCCACCCATGCCTGGCTTTTTCATTTGGGTTCTAGGATATCAAACTCTGGTCCTTATGTTTGCACAACAAGTACATCCCCCAATGAACCATGACCCCAGCAAAACCCAAGTTGCAGGTTTTGAGTTTCATGGTGGTAAAGAAATGCTGGATCCCGAGACTCCTACAGAGCACAGCACAGCACAACACAGCACAGCACAGAGCAAGCATTGCTGGCTCAGCTGTCTGTTTGTCCTTGTGCCTTGCTGGAGAATGAAGCAAAACAGTTTTAAGGATCCGTGGAAACTGCCCCTTGCCCCATAGGGATGGAGCCCATGGTCTTCCCAGAAATTCCTCAGTCACTCCCTGAGCTGCTTCCTCAGACCTCCTCCTGTTTTTATTCTGAGACATGGTCTGGCCTTATAATGATGGCTGACCTTGAAAGAATTCTGTAACCCAGGCAAACCTTGAACTTTCTAATCCCAACCTCCCTAGCAGCTGGAATCATAGGTCTGAGCCAGCAGACCCAGCAGGTTTTATGTATGCATTCTTAGAGGATAAAAAGATCAAACAAAACGCCTTGTGTTCCAGGACACATCTAAACCTCCGTGGCCCTTTCTGGGTCATAGGAACACTGTGGCAAGGTAAGGGGCAGTGACAGTGTCTCTGCCATCAGAGTCTGGCAGTCATGCAGGATAATCTGCCAGGTAATCAAACTGGTGAGAGAGAGGGTGGTGGTGGTGGAGAGGGAACCATCTCAGAGCAGGGACCACAGGGAACTGTGAAGTATCCTGGGATGAGAGCTTGGGGCCAGAGGCACTTGCTCAGACCTGTGGGCTCATGGAACTCTGATGTCTCTGCCTGGGAGCCTGGGAGCATTTTGTGGCCAGAACTGGTGTGATCCGACTTGTGTGTTTATTTGTTTATTTATTGTATATATGTATTGTCATTGCTGGATGGAACACAGGGCTAGGCAAGTGTGTGCTATGCAAGTGCTCTACCACTAGGCTACATCCCCAGCCCTGACTCATGTTTTTATTGACTAGCTAATGAGCAGAAGGGATCAAGGTAGGTGTGAAGTGAGTGAAGGCAGTCATTGCTGTCCCATGAAAAGGGCTTCCAGGAATCTAGGGGTGAGACACACAGTGTAGTCCTTGCTTGCTCACATTAG